TATTCCTCCCCACAGACACACAGTATGTCATGAAGTCTGAGCGTGAGCGGAAAAAAATGGCAGGAGGAGTGGGAGGGGATGAAGCAAGAAGCATGTGTGTCTCCACTGGGTCCTCCTCCTTCCTGTTACATCCATTCACTTTTCTTCACCGTGGAGCAGAAAAAAAATCTCTTTGTGTGTTTGTATGCGTGTGTGTGTGTGTGTGACTTGTTATCCCCATAAGAGGTTTTGTATTCTTTCTGCATTATTTATCCTTCCTTTCATCTGAACAGTTCTATTTTCAGCCGATCATTTAAGGTCCTGCCCGGGGGTTGTCTTGAGCTGGGAAACTCAGCAATCTCATGAGTTATGGAGACATGGGGAGACTCAAGTATTATAAACATATGTATGTCCTTTCTGCGAAATAGCAGAGGTGGATGAGGTCAGGAAGTGACACAGGAATGCGTTTTGTTTGTCTTCTTTCAGCTCGATTTTTGTTTATTTTAATCCTTTTTACAAGGTGGCACAAATCCATGCAAATGTTACTGGAAATGTTTCTTTGTTTGGTGATGTGGTGACATTTTGTTCATCTGAAATTGCAGCTATGGGTAAAATTGTTAATTTTTTGCATCTCTCTTGCTGAAAAATAACTTGCTTTTGTCATCAAGCTCTTTCAGTTGCGGATCCAGACCTTGAATCTCCACTGAGGGGTCGATATTGTGCATTTCTCTGTTCAAACATCACTGCAGAAACCAACCACATATGGGGCATCTCAGGTCATTTTATATGGACAAAGTCAGCCATTTTAAGGTGATGAAACTGCACTTTTTACAAGACAAATACATAAAAAAACGAACTACATATTTTGCCACTTTACACATTTCTTTGTACATTTTCCAAGCCCTTGTTTACTGCTACCTTCCTGTTTGTCAGAAGTAATACCACTATGTATGTGTATTTGTGTGTATGTGTGTGAATCATACCAGCACAGGGAGAAGCGTTCAGTTTTTGATGGGACCCCCAGGTCTTCACTCATCTTCCCTATTGATTTTCTCTTGCTTTCCTTTTTGCACTCCCAGGGGATGGGATGTCTCAATTGGTCCCGGCCGGTGAAAGAGAGTGTGAGCGATAGGCAAACAGATAGAAGATGAGGGACTAGAGAGAGAGAAAGAGGCAAGAGCAGGGGTGGGGGAAACGTAAAACATTGAGAGAAAGAGAGGCAGGATGGGCCTCAAGCTCGCTGATCACAGAGGCCCTGGCTGACCCCTGACCTTGATCATGACCTCTGAGGTTACCCCACAGGTCAGAGGTTGTGTGAAAGTGCCACTGCGGCGATTCACTTCACTGCTGGGTGATGATGATCTTATGCAGCCTCCCCAGCCTGTCTGACATGATCAGTGTTGCTCTTCGCCTGCAGCTCCCAAGGGCCACGCATCCATCTCTAACCCGGCCACACAAGGCCCGCTAAAAGCACCTTGCAGGCAGAGTCAATGAGCAGGAGGAGAAGGGAAACAAACTGAGAAAAGTGGGAAAGCTAAAGGACAGAATGGCTGTTTTATTTTCTACCCTGTAGCACTGTGGGTATATACGATCTAGTTTCATAATGGCACTGAGACAAAGAATGTGTGTTTATCTCCCTATGTTTAAACTTTAACTCAATGTACATGAGATGATGAGGCTTTTAGGAGCCTAAATCGGTTGGGCCCCAACATGTTCCCTGTTGTCCTTGTCAAGAACAATTTACGTTGTGTTTTTTCCCTCCTTTCTAATTTTAAAATAGAGTGTAATAAAAGATGAGTGAGGGAAAAAACCCCTTCCAAGTCATTCATGCCAGACGTGCAAAAGCCGCTGTGGCAGAAAATTATAATTTGTAGGTGGATTGATAACTCGGAGTCTTACTTGTTCCGACCTACACTGTGTACCCCCTACTGCTTCAAAGTAATCCAGAGCCTAGTGAAGCTCCACTCAAATCCTTATGGAGATACTGTGTGCTCAGTGAGAGAAAAGTGCCTGGCAGGAGAAAATACACAGATTTATAATGTTTACAACGACGTCTTCATCAAAATAATGTATCAATATCTAAGTATTACTTGAAGGATACAATCAAATCAATCAAAAATATTGAGAAACAATGTAGTCGTAGCCTGACACAACTAAAAGTCAATCATATCTTTGGTAATGTACCAATGGTTACATATTTAATTATCTCTGCAAAGAGAACATGTGTTGTCTCTTGTGTGTTTTACATATAGTTTGAGGATGAAGTCCATTTCATGTTTTATTGTTCATTGTATGATGATTCAAGGGTTGCACTTGAATAACATGTACTCTGTTTCTGACGATTTCTTTGAATGGATGAAAATGAAAACCGTGAACTGTTTATGGAAGGACATTCTTTTTCCTTTGTTTGCACTGAAATGTTTTATGAAGAAAGTTATATTCATGTTTCCCCACTGAGCAGGTTTCTTTTAAGCAGGGATCTTTGAAGTATGTGAATAAATAAAGTCACTTTATAACCGTACAATATTTGAAACATTGAATCACTGTGTAATTTTATTTTTTGTATGAAAAAAGTTAAAACATGCAACATTTCTCAGGACAAATACTATGCTTTTTGGAGTCACTTTTTATTATATGTTAGATAACATTTTGTAGAATACTTTTCATTTTATCAGTGCCATACAAAGATATACTGTGTTCCTTTAGTTGTGTGTTTCCTTTGTGTGACAGTAAGAGAAAACTATACAAACACATCATAATGGACACCGTGCAAAGCTACTAAGCCTGTAGGGATTATCTCAGACCTGTATTTCTGGTTTGGCTTAATGATAGGTAGCATCACAAGTCATGCAGGCCAGGCCAAGGAAACCCTGATTAACATGGCGGAAAGGAAAATAAATGAGAGGATTAAAACCAGGATCCTCTGGTTCATCTGCAGTATTTTGTCTAAGAAGTATTTATAATACACTGAATACTTACTTATGCTAATGAGCTCACTGAATAAGCTCACACATTGCAGATCATTTGTTCATTTTTTTAAAAGATGATCACGATAGAGAAATAGTTCAAACAGAAACACAAATCCATCTATCACTTTTTTTTCATAAAGATTATTTTAAGGCAGCTGTTAGTTGTGATTGAAGTGCAACTCAGTACATTTTATTAAAAGGCATGTGACTGGGTGCCATGGTTAAACTGAAGCAAGGCTTTAATTCACTGTATTATGTCTATAAATGAAGTATGAAATAATGAAAACACAATTGAGACTACAAATCAGTTGAGCACTGAGCACCATTCATACTGTTTTAAAAGGGAGACCAAAACAGCTTCAAATCAAATCAAGTAATGACCTGAAATTTGAGCTAATTTAAAACACAAAAAATGCCCACCTTTGTGCAGTGAAACAGACGTTATTATCTATGGCAAATTCTTGTGTTATTTTCAGTACATGCAATTAAAGTTCAATGGCAGTGAAGAAATGAGAATGATTGTAGGCGGAAAATAAACTTTTAAAATATTTATTTTAAAAGGCTGTAGCCTCTGGGGGAAAAAAAGCCTAAGTGTAAATGCAGGCGTTGATTTTACCCAGGCCTCACGACACACTCGGCAAGTCACATTTGGGAACCCACAAAATGCTAAAAATGTAAACAACATGTAGAACAGATGTGTTGCCCTGATAAACCTGAGCAGCTCGGCTCCGCTTTGCAGAGCAATTGGAGGCTAAATCGAAGGCATGATGTGTTTTAGGGTGAACAATCGGCACAGTTTGACGCAGGAATTTAGGGCACTCCATATACAGTGCAATTAGAAATTATTTGCATATCCACAAGCTGAAGGGGGGCTGAGGACATGGTCAGCAGGAGTGAGGCCTCAGGAGCAGCCTGGGTTCATTGTGTTGCTGAAGGTCACTTCAACAACAGATATGTATGCATGCTGACACTCTAACCACTGGGCTGCCCTGCTGCTGCAATGATCTGACTAGATTAACAACCATCTTATTTGAATAACTAATCTGATTAATATCTGTGGAGCAAAAATAATGCCTCAAAGCAGTATGTAAGGATGTCTTATTTATGATACAGTAAGACCGTGAACCTGGAAATATCTTATCTACAGTGTAAGTCCACTCCATCCCCTGTTTTGTTGCATAGGCTATGAGTTTGTATAGATCCATTATAATAATAAAGGATAATATAAAATACATGGATTATGAAATGTAAGATATTATGGATACTTTTTTTGTATTATTGATTAGATGTGAATGCTTTTGTTAACAATTTAGATGGACACTTTAATCCTAGATTATATTTAGTTTACAGTCATATTTAACCATTCCTTTTAAATTGCAATTGTCCTTCATACACTTCCACAATGGAACAAACATAACATAATTTCAATGGGATCAGTAAAACAGCTACAAAACACAAACAAAGTATTCATACACTAGATTTAAGTTGTGTTCCTAAATTATGTAGCTGTTATGGTATAAATGAAGAGATTAAAAAAACTCCAAGTATGTGTATGAAACAGAAATCAACTCTTACCGATTGACAGTAAATCACATTTTGGAGAAGTAATTATGATTATTGGTGAGATAAATGATAAAATGGTCTAGATTATCATCTTGCACAGCTCCACACAGCTGAAATGAATCATTGCTCCTGCATGCCCTCCTGGTGTGTTTCTTTCTTTTTAGATATGGCTTCCAAATAGCCTCCTGGTATTATTTGTGTATGATCTTTGCTCTCCATAAAAAACATAATGATCACTTAAGCTACAACACCAAACATTGACTCATCTGGCTCTCACAATTTCGTGTATTTCAAGGTAATAAAACGACGAGTAATTTAACGTTCGCTCTGTTATTTACCTGTAATATCTGGATGTTGATAAAAAGCTATTTAAGCAATTATAATGGCGTTATTAAGGCAACACTGCTGTCAGCTGACTCCGTTCCGTACACAGGCTGATACCCGGATGGAGGTGGATGTGATCCGGTCCGGGTGTTGCGGCCGCCCGGTCCTCTCCACTGAACTCCAACCCCCGCGCTCTCTATCAGCATCTCATTCCTGTCTCAATATGTCTCAAGATGGCGGCCAATGCAGGATCGATGTTTCAATATTGGAAGCGCTTTGACTTACAACAACTACAGGTCAGTACAACCTATGTTTTAACCGTCTCTCCACTATTCTCTTCGGACGCTTTGCCTCTCTCGGCCGCTGTGTTTTGTGTTTTTTCCGCGGTCGCCTCGTAGGTGTTTCGGAAGAGAATTCAAGACCTCTTCCTCACATTGATGAAAGTGGCTCTCTCGCTGATCAGAAATTGATCCTCTTTGTTCAATTCAACATCGATCGGACACTGCAACTGGGCAAGCCGGGGCGACGCCGCGGGGATGCACCGAGATGAAAACAAAACGGCAGGGCTTTTGCCGGAGAGCTTTCGGTTAGCTATCTTTATTGCGTGTTCTTCAACTTTTACCGGAGCGAGTAGCCGTAGTTAGCCCGACGCTTAGCCGCTTTAAGGTTGGATCATTTGGGGGAAAAATAAGTGCGACTCATTATACGGTGGCGCTGTGGTGACACCAGCCGTTGAGACGGGCAGACACACAGCACCGCTTCGCTCGTGTGTTTTTATGCTTTTCACTGACAAATTGGTAAGTTTAGTTACAGGCGAATGAAAACATTAGCAACCTTATCGGCTAACGGGTTTGAAGCAGTTTATACTGAAGTCCGTGATTATGGTTGATCAACTCGGCTTTTTCTCTCGCTTTCCCCTGACGGCAATTATACACTGTGAGGTTTTTTTTTTTTTACAGACATTGCCACGTCTGTTGAAGTGGACGGGACGGGACAGTGTTTGTTGATGCTATGCAATTAAATGAAACGATAGTAGAAATATGAAAGATCGTGACCTTGTTAATTATGATGAACTCCAGAAATGTCCCCAGCCTCACGCACGCCACTTATCTCGGCGTGCACGGAGGAGGTCCACGGCACAGTGCAGGATATGAGGAAAAATATTGGGCCTATTCAGTGTGTGTGAATATAGCCTGTGTATGTTAGAGCCTGTTTGACCTATCACAAGACATGTAGACAATGGCACTGTTGTGTTTTCCCGTGGCATTTAACGTGCATTGCTGAATTTCAAATCACAATTTATGAATATTAGTAGACCAGTCGCCTTGGTAATTAACATAAGATTGCATTATGTAGGCTAGCCCAATTGTTCATACATAATTTTGTACATGGCACAGGCTTGGGATTTAAAACTTTTATTTAGGTCATGATGCCCCTATGACTGGTTAGACAAAAGGACAGTGAAGTCTTCCCAGCGGGCTTTGTGTTGCACTTATGCCACATCATCAAGGCTTCACTTCTCCTATTTATTTGATCCTGTTTGGTCCTCCTACTCGTGCCCCCTTGTTCATGCATTATGTAAAAAAATTGAGACTGCTTTCTCTTTTCTTTCCTCACTATCTATCTCCCACCCCCTTCCTGCCAGCCCCCCCTCACATCTTCCTCTCCCTCACTTCCCCCTCCCCTCCTTTTAAATTTTTTTTCCCTCTCACTCTTCTCTGGCCCTTCACCCTGCTGTCACCCATTTCGTCCAGTCTGAACTGGTGTGTGTGTGTGAATTTTTCCGAGATCGGTCTTTTTCGTAGATTGACTGCCAGCACGGACAGTGAAGGCACTGCCAGCAGCCAGGACATGAAAAATGCATCGCATAAGTTTGTGATAAGGCCCTGGGTAATTATGGCAAAGGCCCCTATCACAAGCGATTAGTCAGGACAGTGAATCTGAGCGTGTGCAAAAAGCCTGGCGGTTGGCAGGCCTGTCTGCAGGATAGGAATCAGTCGGAGCTTGTGTGTGTCTGTGTGTGTGCGCAGAACTGCTCAGAACATTCACTGTCTATTATTGATGACATCTTATTTACTCTCCCTCCCACTGAGAGGCTCCTAGAGGAAAGCCTTCAGAGAAGACCTGTTTTTGTTATCCGTTTTCTGAGGATAATGCAGGGTTAGTATGATATGATCATGGTCTGTGTATGGCCTTGTCAGCCGATTGCTCTCTCAGTTGCTTCTTCCTTGTGATCCAATGGACATTGTAGATTCACAGTCTGTTCTTTTCTGTGTGCGAGGCACCAGCAAAGGAATGTTTTCTTTTTTTTGTTCCGTTTGATGATGAAAATCCAACCCAACCTAAGATGTCAGTAGCTTTAAGCCATCCTAGCGTCTACTCCTCAGGCTCCAACTGCTGATGTTCATTAAAATCCTATTTGATCAGTGTGTCCCATTCCCTGTGTGAGAAACTAGCTAGGTGGTTGTTACAGGACAGAGAGTGCTTTGAAACAGCACAGCGAGCTGTTAACTTGTCTTTTCTGCATGCTTTTTTTCCTGCTCCTTTCACCCCCCCCGCCCCACCACCACTACAAACACAAATGGGTGCAACAGTGATGCTTTTAGCAAGGTCTCGCACACTTGCAAAATGGATCAGTGATTCAGAGATGATGGCAGGGTGACAGTGAATTACAGATGGAGGAGGTTTTAACGTCTGTAATCCCTGTCCGTCCATTACAGAGTTGAGTTTCTTTACAGGGGATCATCACTCTTCTCTCCTGTTGTTATTTTTTCTTTTTTTCTCATTTTTTTTCCTCTTCTTTTTGACCCAGTCAAGCAGTTTGCTGGAACATTGTGTTTCTACTTGAGAGACTGCGCTTCATTACAGGCAATCCTTAATAAGAAAAGAGCGAATAGCTGAGCCTAAACCTATATTTTATATTTTCCGCGTAAGCTCGGAAAATTAAGAACAGACCTTTCTGCTGTACACAATTCCCAATTTAGGCCTAATAGCTTACATCTCACCTCATAACATTTCCTGGAACAAAGGACCCTAGAGCCATTTTGAAAAATAGTACAGCTAAACAGTGACTTAGGTGAAAACGGATCTAGAACTCGTTCCCGTTCAGCACCTCCTAATGGGTAAATTTAGGAAAGGGGTTTTGTAAGCTGATCCCAGAGCTGTGGTCAGTGGCAACCTGAGTGGTTTAAATCTCTCAGCGTCCGGCCCGCTGTTGTCTGCAGGAGTTTTAGTGTTAATTTATGAGCCGGTTGTCTGAACTCACTGGTGGGATATTTTTACCCCTCTGTTGCTGCACAGGCTGGGGGAACGTAGAGGAAGGGGCATCACGTCATGCTTTTACTGTAGCCAACCGCTTCTCTGCCCAGTGACAAAACCTGGCATTGGGACTGAGGTTTCACTGTGTGTTGGTGGGTGGTGAGCGACTAAGCATGAGCGACCATAAGCATGAGTCAGAGTGAAGGACGAGTGCATGTCAGGTCTTTGGTCTGCCCTCGGTCTACTTTGGTCATGGCTATGTCATCCCACTTTCTAAGACGCTCTAGTGTATCCTTCTGAGCGATACACTCCACAGGACTCAGAGGAATGTGCAGCCCTGGAAAAAAAAACTTCTCTTCATCTACCTTATCAGTGGCTAATTCTCACCGGAGGCCCATACTCCCCAAATCCTCAGCGATTTATCGCACGTCACACTCGGCTCAGTTTCTTCACCCTCTCTCTGCTTTGAGTCGTGTCTACACTAGGCCCAGTTTATCTGATTTTACTACTAAAAGAAAAATGCATTTCACCATCTTGAGTTGATACTACAACATTGAATTAAACAATTTTCTCTGTCGTAAAATACATTTTAACCAATGTCATTTGATGTTTGAACAAAAGATAAAAAGCACTTAACAGAAGTCTAAAAATAGGGCTATCCAAACAGATGGAGTCAGCAGCTCTTAATGCAGGCTTTATGCAAAAGTGTGTGACAAACGGACATGTTCCATATAAAACTTGAAGGTGTGGAAGTCTCTGCTCAGGATAAAAATATCACACATGTGTTTTTCTTTCAATAATTAGCAATTTTAGATTAGCAACACTAAACATTTTTCCTTGGCTGGATCTCAGATAAACGGTCTGTCATTAACAAGTTACAAATGTTAAATAAAAAAGCAGTGAAATACCTCAAACTTCTTTCCCTTGTCGTACGATTTAAAAAGTCTTAATAATGCCGTCCTTAATAACTATTCTCACTCGATTACTGTGTGAATGTTCATTTTTTTATCCCAGGAAACAACTCTTTCGTTTTTCCTTCTTTTACTTTTTGTTGTACTTACTCTTAGGTAATTTCACTTTTAAAATGAATGATCGTAATACATTTTAATTGCAGAATTCCTTCACAGGCCTTTTGTGGACTTAACAAAATATGAGAGGGCCCATGTTGAATTTCAGTGTCTGGCTTTTTGTATAAACACTTAATACTTTCTAATTTTCTACAACCTTTAAACATACTAAACCATTTCAGTAATACCAATATTTCATACATACATTTCATTATCTTGTTTAATATGCTCTTCAACACTTTACATGCTACAGTGTACAGTTGTTGTACATTACCAGTTATCAGTAACTTTAGAAACAAATTGTATTTGTTGTTGCTCATAATCGTCCAAAAATGTTGCCATATTTTTTTTGATTTGATCCCCACCAAATACTTAAAAAACACTTAAATGCAATTACACAGACTCTCACCCAACAACCAGCAACAAAAGCACAGGCGGCAGTTTCCAGAGACCTATTTTCAAGTGGCAGGCATTATTTACAGACCCACTTGGAGTCTCTCTCACCTACAGCATCATAGAGCTTCACGGTATCTCGTGACAGAAGCATCCATTATTCTGCTGCTCTGTATTCCAGCAGAGAAAGCCTGGGCTTCAGTGACTGGACACTTCAGGCTCACTTTGGAGAATACTGGCTGTTTCCACTTGTAAGTTTGAAGATGATGCCCACTTTATTTAAAAATCAACCGTAGACTTGAAACAGCGCCTCCAAGGCCGATGTAATCTTGTATAGTCTATTTCTCATCTTGTAATATTAAGCCTACGGATTTCAGTAAACAAAAATCTTGCCTTCCCAAGGGAAAAATATGTCTGTTTTAATCTATAGCTGACTGGTAAAGTAAGAAGGTGCAGACCAGCACTGAGCTTAGCTTTGGTCTAAACAAACAACACACACTCTTTTCTTGTTGCTTTTGTGTTAATCGTTTTATTTTTCTTACATGTTTTCAACCGTTTCACCGGTTTAATGGGGAACT